GGGATTACATTTATTTATCATTTGGAGGGAGGACAAGGGAAAGCATTTTGAACTAATTTAAAACTTAAACGTAAAGGATGACTAAAACACAAAACACTAAACACATAAATCAACAGCTTTAAGAAAGTCGTAAATAAGCTTCATAAAGTCGATATCACGGCAAGCCAAGACGTCTCTAATTGGCTTAAAGGGTTGTTTTCCTCGGACCCTAAGGGAATCACACAGAACGGATCTCGCCTCATGATGCAAGGAGCAGGACCAAACAACATGCTCGATGTCGTGATAACCGTTTCCACAGGTGCACAAGTTGCTGTCGGCGAGCGTAATACGGAAGAGGTGGGCGTTTAACGAACAGTGATTGGACATGAGCCTGGACATTACACGAATAAAATCACGACTCATATCCAACCCTTTGAACCAGGGTTTGATCGACACCTGTGGGACAATAGAATGTAGCCATCTTCCCAGATCACCATCATTCCACTTTTGTTGCCAGTTGGCGAGGACTTGCTGACGAGAAATCGTGAAAAATTCGTGGTAGGCGATTTGTCGCTCGTAAATATCGCCTTCCATAGCGCCCACCTTGGCCAGCGAGTCCGCTTTCTCATTGCCCGGGATAGAGCAATGAGAAGGGACCCATACCAAGGTGATGACATGTGAGCTGTTTGATAAAGCACTCAATGACGATCGTATTTCCTGGAGGAAATACGCCGAGTGCTTCATCGGCCTCATTGAACGCATAGCCTCCAGGGAGCTTAAGCTATCCGTAAAAATGAAATATTGGTCAGGTGGAAGTGAGGCAATACGCTCTAACGTATACGATATAGCTGCTAGTTCAGCAACGTATACCGAACACGGCTTTTGAAGCTTGTATGAGGCGCTATGAAGATCGTGGAATACTCCAAAACCAGTGGACGCATTTATCACCGACCCATCTGTGAAAAATCTCTTCTCGGTGGGGACGTGGCGGTATTTGTTCGCAAAAATAGTTGGGACAATCAGGGCACGGTGAGGCTCTGGAATTCCTTGAATCTCCTGCCTCATTGTGAGATCGAATCTCACGGAAGAACCACTGAAATGATGGGAGACAGCGCGATTGGGGTTGAACGAGGAGGGGCCGATGTCCAGAGTCATGTACTCGTAGTACAAGCTCATGAATCGTGTTTGAGGATTCCGCTCTAGCAGCTTCTCAAAGTTTTCGATCACCAGCGGGTTCATGACTTCACAGCGGATGAGGAACCGGAACCATAAATCCGCAAAACGATTTGTTAAGGGGAGGAGGCCCGCAAGAACTTCAAGACTCATGGTATGCGTCGATTGCATACAACCTAGCGCGATTCGAATGCAACGATATTGAATCCTTTGGAGCTTCAATATGTGCGTCCCCGCCGCCGATTGAAAGCAAAAGCTACCGTACTCCAAAATCGAGAGAATGGTGGTCTTATAGAGTCTTATCAGATCTTCCGGATGGGCTCCCCATGAAGTGCCGGTAATGGAACGAAGGAAATTGATTCGCTGTTGGCATCTCTGCCTCAGATACGCTATGTGTTTTCCCCAAGTGCACTTGGAATCGAACCAGACACCTAAATACTTAAACGACATGCTGTGAGTGATTGTTCTACCCATAAGTTGAAGCTGAAACTGTGCTGGATAAAGCTTCCTAGAAAAAACAACCATCTCTGTTTTCTCCGGAGAGAATTCGATACCCAGATTCATTGCCCAAGTAGACAAATTATCCAAGGTATCTTGCAATGGTCCTTGCAGGTCCGGTGCTGTTGGTCCAACCATGGAAACCACGCCGTCATCTGCAAGCTGCCTTAGCGTGCAATTTTCGGCCAGACATTCATCAATGTCTTTGACATAGAAGTTGTACAGGAGGGGACTTAAACATGAGCCTTGTGGAAGACCCATGTAGCTGATTCGTGCAATTTCCGTGTTGCCATGAGAGAAGCTCATTCGTTTCTCGGACAACAAATTAAACAGGAAATTGTTGATAATCGGAGAAAGCCCACTCGCATGGAGTTTGTCCGAAAGGATGTCGATGCAAACAGAATCAAACGCCCCTTTAATGTCCAAGAAAACTGAACCCATCTGCTGTTTTTCAGCATAGGCTAATTGGATTTCAGTTGAAAGCAACGCAATGCAGTCGTTCGTCCCTTTGCCCCTACGGAATCCAAATTGCGTATCTGAGAGTAAGCCATTCGCCTCGACCCACTTGTCCAGACGAAGAAGAATCATTTTTTCTAACAGCTTCCGAATACACGACAGCATCGCGATGGGACGGTACGAATTATGATCCGAAGCGGGTTTACCGGGCTTCTGGATGGCGATAACTCTCACTTGTCTCCAATCATCCGGAACAACGTTGAGCTCAAGGAATCGATTGAACAAGTTCAACAATCGCCTCTTTGTGACTTCTGGGAGGTTCTTGAGCAGGTTGAACTTGATTCGATCAATTCCCGGAGCTGAGTTATTGCATGAAAGAAGAGCAATTGAGAATTCTACCATCGAAAACGGGGAGTTCATGTCATCGTTTTCCAGCGGCGGATCGCGAGTGTTGCATCGGACCGGAACCGAATCGGGACAAACCTTACGCGCGAAGTCGAAAATCCACTTGTTAGAGTACTGGGCGCAGAGTTGCGACCTATCACAATCACGATCATCAAACAGCTGATGGTAGTAACGCTTTGTACATTCCTATCAATGTGCTCGTCGAAGCTCTCTCCATGACCATCCATCAAGTTGACGAAAGAAGTAAAAGGCAACTGGTGAATGTCGTCTTCTGTTGTGATCCATCACCGATCTGGTCATTTCTGACAATCACGACACTCATCTGTGCTCGTTTTGAAGCAGTTGCTGCTTTGCTTGCTTATGTGAGTGCTTTGGTGAGTGAACCCAACAGCTTCCGTTTAATGTTGCCTGCTTTGTTTGTAACTCACACACTCGCGCCTGCCAAGACGAACTTGGAATGCGTTGGCATTGTTTTCATTTTCTTCTGTCGTTTCGCTTTTTCTCATGATCGTACTGCAGAAGTCTTCACTGTTTTCGTTATGCTTTTCATTATCAGCAGCGAGTGTAACGTTTTGCTTGTGAGCAGCGACCATTACTGGTGATTGTTGTTTGCCATGGCTCTAACTCTCACTGCGTGACAAAACGATCTGTCAGCGATAGTCGGTTGATGCGAAGACGAGTGTCACGTGAGTGTTATGATATTTTGCATCACTGAGTGGGCGACGATGAGTCTCATACAAAAACTAATAAAGAGATATATCTCAAATCAAAAGGAATTAAATTCTTATACTAGTCATTTGCAGAAACACATAAATCTACTGCATATTACAAAGATCGCGGGATCCCAATACGTCTCTGATAAGGATTTAGGGTTGTGTACCTTGGCCCTCTAGAATATTCAAAAATCGTTCTCTGGTGCCGTCATTATCCATACATTGCCAAATACTAAGGACATCTTATTTTCGTTTTGATGATTAACAACGTGTGTGACCATTCGTGTCGCTAACCACTGAATTTCCTGTAAGCTATTAGACAGACAATTTGAAAATTTACCGTGTGGTTAAATCGATCCTAGATTATTGTGCACCTCAACCAGGTCAGGGTTGTTAAAAGGTAAAATATCGTCGTCACCGATAACGTTAAACTCAAGTTATCGTCATAGCTAAAAATCTCGTTAGTTAGTTTTCAAAAAAAGCGCTAACGCCGATGAAGATAAATTATCATTATCTTCATCGAACTATCGATAATTTAAACAGATTATCACGATAACGCTGCAATATCTTTATCTTCAATCCCAGTAAAAATCTATTCCAGTCAGTTTAGAACAGCACTATCGTTCATGCTGGCAATAACGCTCTGATGAGACAACGAAACCCCACTTTCAATCTTTTCCCCTGATCCTATCCTTCGCAATGTACTCCTTTATCCTCGCGTAAGCCGCGAGTATTCGTCCCACATCCTACTAGACATAGAAATAAGTGTTACAAACATTGAGCCTTCCAAATAAACGAACTAGATAAAAAAATCCACTCGATCAACAATTTTATTTTCAGTCTTTATAAACTACGTAGACATTTTAAGAACGGTAGTGGGTGCCACTTTTCATCGGTCGAAACATGTATGTACAACCAACCACACAAGATGGTATTGGTGGTTGAGGGGTAAGCGTAACTGCTTCCTTATCTTAGTGGATCGAGGATCAATATTTTGGAATGGCAATACTAAAGCACTCGGTTCCGACCCATGCTGTGATGGGTTCGATATCTAGGGTCGAGGTGGTGGAGCTATTGACACCTCCTTATGCTCAGTCGTTAAAGGCGCAACAATACAGCAACGTGTTGCACAATTTCTCGACTTCCCTGGGCATAGAGTATGATTGTTCTTGCCATACAATAACACTAATGTAAAAATGGGACAGGCTAAGAATGCTTAGAGCTTAGAATTAAGTTAGAGTAAATTAAGTTTATCTAGATTGTAAGACACACCACGCTAGAGGTAATTTGGTAAACAATCTTGTCGGATTGAAAAGTAGACTTTCACCCTTGTCCCTGTTTATAAATAACTAGCTGAGTGTGCCCGGTCTTGTTTTTTTCCTTGATTTGTTTTCCGTCGATCTTGTTTTCCGTGCTGAGCACCAATGTCGCCGACTGGGATTGAAGCCAGGCCTGCTATGGAGAGAGGTAATCACTCTTACCACTACACCACCGGCACCGCTGCACCCGGTCTTGCTCGGGATTCATGATTAGCTTGAGTTTATGCACCACTTTAAAAAAAACATGCTATATAGTACGTAGCCCCCCTCTTACCTAAGGGACTACCCCCTATGAGCTCCACATGCCAAATTTGGTTCCATTTGCTTGATTAGTTCTCGACTTATACAGAAATTTTTGTTTTAGACAGACAGAAATTCATTTATATATATAGATGATCCATAATGAAAAATAACCCAATCTAAGTAAATGAACTCCCTTTGGCATTTCCCGTTGCAGAGCAAATCTTCCATCACCTCACCAGTTTGGCCGGTAGCCACCAGTCTCCGATGTGCATCCATTTAGGACCCATCATAGCCGTTTGCGTCTACAAACCGGAACATCTTCAAGCCGTACTCACCTCGCCACACTGCATCAGCCGAGCCTTTGTGTATGATTTTTTTCGCGTCAGCAAAGGACTGTTTTCCTCTCCCTGTGCGTCCAGCAATTCTAGAATTGATCATCAACAGTAGTAGATAATAGATTCAATCAACTCTTACAGCTCATATCTGGAAAGGTCAGCGAAAGGTTCTTAACCATTCATTCGGACCGGGTATCCTGAATAGCTTTGTATCGATATTCAACGAAAAGAGTGCCATTCTGACAACCATGATGGGTCTCCATGTTGGCAAAGGAGAACGTGACTTCACCCGCGAGATTGCAAGGTGTACCTTGGATACGATTTATTGTACGTAGGATGCACATTGATGATATCTCATTTAACTATCTCTGTTGAAATTAATTTCAGCCACGGCATTTGGATTGAATTTCGACATGCAGCAGTCTCCGGAAGGAAATAAGTACCTTGACTTGCAGGAAGAGTTCATGGAATTGGTACTGAAGCGCATGTTTTCGGTGACTCATTACATCGAACGCATCTACCGGATGTCAAAGGAATACAAGAGAGAACAAGAGATTCTCCGCTACGCTCGGATTTTAACAAACCGAGTTATGGAGGCCAGGAACGCTGACGAAATTCTGTCTGGAAAGGTTGCGATGAATCAGCCAGAAGTGCAAGAAACGGATGGTAAAATGCCGCAAATATTCCTCGACAAGCTACTAGAGTTGGCTCGGGAAAATAAGCAACATTTAGCGGTAGATGACATTTCCGAACATTTGGACACGATCATATTCGCCGGCAATGACACGACCGCTACCACGATGAGCAATCTGCTGCTGATGATGGCAATGCATCCTGACGTACAGGAACGAGTCTATCAGGAAATCATGGAGGCTTGCCCGGATGCCGATCAACCAGTATCGATCGAAGAGACTACGAAACTCGTGTACACAGAAATGGTGTGCAAAGAAACGATGAGACTGTTTCCGGTAGGGCCCGTCATTGGACGGGTAGCAGAAGCCGACATCCAACTGAGCGGTACGTTCTGTGAAATGTAACGTTGCGATAAGTATTCTGGTATACCGGTAACTATTATAATACTATAATAACTTCGGAAACACCGACAACTATAATAATTATGAAAGTTCCGAGAATTATTGAAATTCATGTCTCGTAGTTCGCAAAATATGATCTATTTCCTTTAAAAACCCTATGTTCATTTGCAGATAAACACGTGATTCCTGCTAGATCGATGGTTTTTTGTGGCTACTATATGGTTCACCATGATTGTGAGATATGGGGCCCAAAGGCAAACGAGTTCAATCCGGACAACTTTCTACCGGAGAACATTAGCAAGATACATCCCTACGCCTATTTGCCATTCAGTGGAGGCCTGCGGAACTGCATAGGAGTACGGTACGCGTGGATTTCTATGAAGATCATGATTGTGCACATACTGAGAAAGTACCGTTTGAAAACATCGCTTACGATGGATAAATTGACCCTCAAGTTTTGCGTAATACTCAAAATTGGCAATGGTTGCTTCATCAGTCTGGAGAAGAGACAGTAAAACAATTATACCCAAACGCATGCAAACAAGCGGGATGAAGTTCCCATCGAATGTAGTAAATTTATTAATAAATTAGATATATCAAACGCACTTACAGAGTATAAAACAAACAGTAGGGCAATCAGTTGTAAATTCTCAATCATTTCGCCCCATCAACGTAGGTACTTAGTAGCAGCACGAAGAGGACAGTACTATGTTAATACCTGCAATGTAATTACACCATGAAACATTATTCAGTTAAACGATTCCCCATACACAATGTAACCCTAGTGTAATAATATTTGCAACACGGTAATCAGTTACAATCATGCACTGTCCGAAAAATGTTCTCCCTCCTAGTCACCAGCTTTGGATTCGTCGTAGTCGTCGGCTTTGGCAGCGGCATCCCGCATTCCCGGTCCGGTAACATTAGCACCGCTCATCGGAGGACTTTTTAAATGTTGTGGAAAGCCCTATTCGGAAATAGCTTCTACACTGCTGCCGATATGCTTCGCCGGTCGTTGCTCTGCTGATGGTGATAGTCGATCAGCCGAAGATCTGAAAATCTTTGTCAATTTCGACCGGTGTTTGGACGAAGTTGGACGGTCTTTTGCGGCCACAGCAAAGCTTTGGATATCGTAGTTTGGGCAAAAGTAGAGAAATGTAGACTGTTGAGTGCCAAGTTGGAGAAAAACAGTATCTGGACACTCGGACAGTTCGTGTACCCACCTGATGAAAAACTACACGCAGAATGTTATTTGTGATGAGCTTCCGTAATTAAGTGAAAAAAAATGAAGAGCATAGATCTACCAGTTTGAGTACGGGGTTTTCCTTAGAGTCTAGTCAGCGAAAGTGCAACTGTACAGCCAAACCATGATGGAGGCGATAAGTTTGATTCCCGGTATCCGGTCTGGATCAGGATCTTTCCGGGTTGAAATCATTCTCATCTTCCCTGTATAGATCGGCAAACTACACAGTTCGAAAAAGTAGTGTAAAGTTCTGTTAAATATGATGCACATAAATGCACAGTGGGGCGATTCTATACAAAAGAAAACTACAAGAGACAGTCCCTTGGGGGGGTTGTACACAACGGTGACGTAGGACTACGTTGTTTTATATAAGAAATGTTATTTTTTAACTGCAGTAGGAGCTTGTATTTTGTGTAGGTATAGGAATTAGAGCGGGGTTCTCTCTTTTTATACTCTATGTACTTCTACTCTATTTGTAGTATGACTATGATTGCCCTGAAAAGAACCTTTTGATATGAATTTTAGTTGGGACATGTTCAAAAATTTTACTCTTTGGGAAAATCTTGGTGGCCCTGACAAGGGCCGATTGTAGTACATGCCTAAAGCCTTTGGAAGATGATGATTATGTGTAGGCAGCTGGATCAGCAAACCGGACCGGACAAGCCCATATTCTTCGGTTCAATGATTGATTGATTGATTGATTGATTGAACTGGTGTCCACCCAGCGCTCTCCTCCCCTTTTTAGTTTTTCTCGTTAAACTCCTTCCCTCAACAAGTTGGTAAATCTTAGCCTTTAGCAGAAAGACGCTTAATACATTTTTCGGCGAATTTATGACCCTGTTTCACGTCATGGCTCTTCTCTATGCCTGTTCAGATAAATAAGTACCTACTTTTACTAATTTCTTCTACTGTGCTAAATCAAACGAGTAGAAATAAGAAAGGATGTCAGTTACGTGCTCGAATAATTGAAAATTCGATAAATTTTCAATCGAATAGCTGGAAAAATCGAATAATTGGACTTTTAGGCATCTCTAGAGAATAGTGTACTTTCATGTTTTTTGGTGGTCCTTCGAAAATGTCGAATAGCAGAATTGCAACCAGCAAGTGTAACCCAAGAACCAAAAGCGGTGTGATGCTAGTTTTCATTGCTATGACGACGACTGAATTAAGGGGCTTAGAAGCAGAGGGGTGAAAGTCAATTCTCTTCATCGATTTCCTCTTTTGATGACCATGGCTTCACTAACCTATTTCGCACTATTTCTGCTATGCTCTTCTATCATCCAGAACAACATTCGAATTAATGAATGTGTTTGCTGTCCAGTTATTAACGAAACAGAAAGTCTATGAAGAGAATCGATCGAAATCACTTGCACCCCTCCTTCCAAGTTTAGTTATAAGATTACAACTCTGGAGAGCATTTTTTATGAGATGCTCGGAGATCGGAGGCGAATGCCAATTCGACTTGTTTCGTCTACTAACGACTCTCTGATGACAGTGTTTGAGAAGCAGCAATGCTACATCGACATGTTTCGTCTAGAAACGATTATGTGATGACTGTGTTGGGGAAGCAGCATATGCATGTACGTTATGGTTATGGTGGATTTGTTAATTATTTCAACGCTTTTGGACAATACTTGACCTTTACCACTTTTTCAATAGTTTCTTGTTGAAAATCAACAGTGCGAAGCGTGAAAATATTTCTGATCGATTGGTGATAAAATTATTGATATTGGTCCAGGGACAGCTGAGTTATTAACGTCCAAAATCTTTCATAATTTCGTTACATGTTCGGTTTTTACAGAAATCACGTCAAAAACATTTTTTAATGGACGCTGTCAAATATCATTTGAAGTTGAAAAGAATCCAGCTTTCCCTGCTCGGAAATGGCGCATGTGTTTATAGTAAATTTTACACTAACTTGATTTTCAGAGTTGGTTGGAAATGCTAACATGAAGCTTTAGTGTGATGATTTATTAGCTAGATAATGATCTTTAGAAGAGGGTAGGTGGATAGTTCCGTTAGAGTACGGCAGTATGAAAATTGAATAGAAGTTGAAAATGAGCGAAGGGCCATTAATGCGACAGTTTTTAGAGATAGACGCACATTTTTGCCTAACCCGTACGATGTACGCGGGGACTTGAAGTATGTCTCCAAGTCCACAGGCAAAAAACATACAGACATACTTCAAGTCCCCGCGTACATCGTACGGGTTAGGCAAAAATGTGCGTCTATCTCTAAAAACTGTTAATTTGATTCTGCTATCCATGGGTTCCGTAATTTTGAGTTTCTCTAAGCTTTGCACCTAATTTCGTGATGCACCTTTGTCGTAATACTTCCTTTAATGAACACAAATTGTCTTGCATTGCCATGGTCATCTGGGAGGTGGTTCGCGTCTAGTGCTTTCCTCAGGAACAGTTTGCGGCCACCAACTGCCACCCGTCCAGTCTTGGGCGTATCTTTTATATTGCTCGTAATCTCCGACACCGGCGAGAGAACAGCAGTCGAGCACTGTTGCAAGCGGAAAACATGCTGATTCACGGCAACGTCGGCCACCGAATCACCACCACAACTCGCGACGGACACATTATCAACACGTTTCCGGGCTAGTTCACCAACCGGAGCGATCTCTCACGCCGAAAGTGTAGCATCCGAACTCGAAGAACCGGGCTCCCGGGAGGCAATGAAAATCGACACCGAACAATGGAACTGAAGCTGCGTCGTATATTTTGGAGGTTAGATTCAAGGTCAACCGAGCCACTCAGGGCAAACACAGGCAAAACACGATATATCAATAAATGATAACTTTATGAACACCTGAAACTAAATTTCAGCACATCAATTAACAAATTGAAAGCCAAAAAGTGTTTAATTTGCTTACAAAAAATACGCACCAAAAGAAAAACACGTCAGCTTCAAGCGTGGCCTACTGCGAAGTCCTTTTCGCACAAACAAATGACCCAAGTAGCACAATTCTGTCCCAAAAAGATGCAGCAACTTGTTTATAACTGAAATAAGTCGTATATAAGTTTCCAAGACCAATTTATAACAAGGGTGCTACTAGGGGAATTTCCACTTTATTCAGTTTCATGCAGATACCGTTTATTTCTCTAAACTTTTCGATTTATTATCAGCTATCAGCTATCAGCTAGTCTTCCATAGTTTCTTCCTTCGTCTTCTGCGTCGAAGGGGCCCCCTTCTCCTCCGTTCCGCTACACTTTCACCTTCACTTTCTTCCTCGGTTTCGACTGTGGGTGTCCCAGTACATACAACTCTTACCACTTCCTCTCCTCTCTTCCTACGGGTACTGCCACGGTACCGTTTGCCGAGTCGTACGCGAACTGTACAGCGAGTCCGCGAGTAAACTCGGGGCACCAACGAACGGTTGTTGATATGGACGTTTGGGGAGGTTCTTAAAGGTTCGATACTTCGCTACGGTGGTATTTTTACGGTAGCTTCGGGGTTTAACCGCACCGTAGGTCGAAGACGATGAGGTCTGACCACGCCGTGGATAAATTTTAGCGGTAAGCTACGGGGTCCTATGGGCATAAAACGATACCATGATGGCGGTTAGTGATGAGAACAATCGGGTTTGAGCTTAAACGGTTTTTACCTGGATATGTTCGTACGTTGGCTCCTCCTTCACTACTGTTCAAGTCTCACGTCTCACATTTATTAACTTTGCGCACGCATCACATTTATTAACTTTGCGATCCTTCACTATAGTTTCGATTTGATTTTGGTTGGTCTAGTTTGGTCTACGACTACGACCGCTTTTCACCAGGCTTTCAAAGCTAGCAACGCTGGCGGGTGATTTCCTTGCGCTTTAGATCGTTGAGCATTTTTCTTTTAGTCCAATTTCGCCCCATCATAACCCTCTTTACACCATCTCTCAATAGCCTTCCAATCCTACTGTTAGCGGCATCTGGTGGTGAGTTGCGGAACTTCATGGTGGGGCTTCGTGCTGTCCAGTTGGTGGTTGACGCTGTTTGCACTTTAATCTTCATATCATTTAAATCGAAACACTAAATTCGGCGAATCTCAACAATCTCGGACAGACACTGGATACAAGTTCCTGGCGAAGTAGAAAGAATCTTCCGATGGAAGCAAAATTAAACTTCCGAAAGAAATCGGTTACAACTTTCTGGGGAATCGAAGGAAAATTCAAAAGAAACCTCGAGGTCGAAATGGTTTCTAAATGGCTTGCCCAGAAAGATCTGCAAGCTTCAATGAACCTTTCAAGGGTGTACAGCCACTAGGTTTAAGATTATAACGTTGAATGGTCATAAGGCCGAATGGTTTCCAGCTTACTGAAACTTGATGGAACTTTAACGAACTTCCAGACATAGTCATAGTTGAAAATCTCGAAATATCTACAGTTATATTTTTTTGCAGACTATTTGGACGCTGAAAACTTTTTTCAGTGAGCTCGAACTGTAATATTTAGACGTTCCGGAATAGGAAAAATGTTCCTTATACCCTCTGAAATTTATAAGACCCTGGTTTGGTAGATTGGGAAGCAGCTAAAATGTTAAATTTTAAATGTTTTCACCCCTTTCAAACAAAGGCAGTTCATTCGAGTTTTGCTGTTTTCGTGATTTTTGGTACAAGAAACAAAATATGTATCACATTATGTTCCTTTTTCAAAAGCACCTTCTGCTCTCACACCAATCTATTTGATTGACTGGTAGTTTACTGTGGCTATAATTTTCTAGAGCAGTTTTTTTTTTTCTTTTTTTTTTTTTTAGGCGGAATAATAATTATTATAATAATTAATTTCCCGAAATTATATCCAAAGGCCGTTTGGCATAATGCCTTTGAAGTATGGCGACTTCCGATTATCAAATAAAAAAAAACTTAACCACCTTAAAAATACCCTTACATTAAACCCGTTTAATGTTTAAACTTCTTTTAGAATGCCTTTGAATATATCTTAGAAGCCCATAATATTTGCTTTTCGAAGTTCCCTAAATATATCCTGACGACCAATGCACGGAAATAGAAAATAGCTTTCCAATAACTCCTCGGAATATTTAAGGGGTAATCTACGATGATACAGGTAATGTTGGGCAATTTATTAGATTTGACGAGTGTAGATCATCTGAACATTCCTTGACCTAAAATCACTACTCGCTAGAGAGCAGCACAAAATAAGTTATTGGAAGTGAATTGTATTCATTTAAGCTCATCGAATAAAAATTGAACTCAGAGCAAGAAGCAACACAAATAATGGAAGTAGTAACTTATTATTGTATAGTTGGAATAGCTTAGTCACAATTAATAACACTAACCACAACTGTTCAGTGACAAATGTGCTACTAAGACAAATGGCTCCAAAAACACAAAATATACAGACATTTGAGATGACTGCCGGCAATACAAATAAAAAGTCTAGGAAACCTGGAATAGAGCTACTCTAGTGACCTTTTTTTAAGTGACTTTAGTCACTTTTAGTTGAAAATAGTGACATTTAAGTGACCGGCTTGAAAAAAGTGACCAACACCTGCTACCATCCCTGCCATCGTAGTCTTGATCAGGCTGGTTTGTTTTCAGGAAAGACACAAAACTCAAAAATGAGAGCAGGCGTAAAGTTCCAGATGGGCCTTAATAGCCCTTAAGAAAAATTCAAATTCAACTTTCAGTCTTCGTTCACACGATACTAGTAAATTATGAGCACTTACAACATTAATCTACAGTTGTAAAATCAAAATAACAGGCTTAGAACCAGAATAAATTAATTAATTAATAAATAAGGAACACTGGGGTGCCACAAATGATAAAAACAATGGAAATTGCAATATCAGATGTCTTGTGAGTTCGGCATTACTTACTCACCCAGTACTCATGCATCTACTTGAACCCTTTCAATCCCAATTATTATTGTTATTTTAATTTAATCAAAAACAAGGCTATAAACAGTGCAACCATTAGCACTTAAATGATCAAATTATAATTTATATCAAAACCCTGATTGATCTTTCACTACTGCTCGTCATATCAATAGTACATTTGCTCATATCTCCGAAACCAAAAGTACAATGGGATAAAATTGAATAGGATACATCTACATACGGTACTACAAGGGCGAATCACCCTCAGCCACGCGCCAGATAATTGAAACGCTTAACGTTCTCAATGAACGGTTCTAAATGTGTCAGTCAACGAGATAAATTTTGCACAGAGGCACATCACTTTCGTTTGAGCAGTGCTTCCGTTCTGATACGGTTTGATTTTCAATTGAAGTGTTAAAGTTGTCATTGGCACGTTCTTCGGCAGCATATTCGTCAACGAAATGTTGTGGGATTCATTGCTAGTGTACATATGCGCGAGTGTCTTAACGGTGTTCATATATTTTCAATGGACCCGAAGAAAAATGTATGCCAGTCTGGCTAGCATGTCCGGACCTACCAGGCTACCACTGATAGGGCACGCCCATAAATTTGTCAACGTATCACCAGGTACAAGATAACGAAAGCGTGGTGAAAAAGTACGAGATCTCGTATGATTAGAATCCGAGCCATGGAGCTAGACCAAATATTCAAGTGTGGTGCCTTTAACCCGTTAACGTCCAAGTCATTTTCGACCTCCGGACAATGCGGGATTTTTCCAGGTGTAACCCAAGGATTATTCTCACACTATTTGAAAACAAGATGTCAAGGATAGTCCAGGGATCATTCTAGAGATATTGAAAACATAATTAACATTCTCAATTTCTGTTAAGACATGATAAAAGAGACAAAAATGCTGATCTATAAATAGATCACTGCGCGTTAATGGGTTAAAAGAAAAGTTGCTAGAGTGCGATCTAGAAAACTTTAATTCCGGGATCATGAAAATTTTCCAAAATCTAATATCCTGAGAATGTTTATGTCCAACATCTTGATTTTGTCTATGTCCAAAATTTCCAATCTTATTTTCCTCAATACCAAATTTCAAAGATTTTTCTCAGATCCGGATCTTGATATATATTTTTTTTTTTAAATTGACAATTCCTAATTGGGATAATTCATTTTAAAGGCATGTTTCCCAATGAAATTGTAAAGTCAAAACACTTTCGCACACACCCTTAAAAATAAACCATCTTCCCGAAATCGATGATCATCATCCATATTATCGAATTTGGTACTTGCTTACCGTGAACCTTTTCAGAAACCATCGCTGACACGCTCATATATTTCGTCAGCAACTTTCCGTCGCCGGTGTGCATACACATGGGACCCTTGCCTCACGTAGCCGTTTTCGATCCCGAACAAGTACAGGCAGTTCTGTATTCTCCGAACTGTCTCGACAAATCCTTGCACTACTCATTTTTCCGGATTCCACGAACACTGCTAACTGCACCCGGTAAGCCGAGCTGGATTTCAAACTGCTCGGGTGACTCATTTAACCAATTCGCTAATTGCAGGTCATCTATGGAAAGGCCTGAGAAAAACGCTGAATCCTGCTCTGGGACCAACTATTCTCAACAGTTTCATACCGATTTTTAACCAGAAAAGTGCCCTCCTGGCCGAGCTACTTGAGCAACACGTCGGAAAACCAGAGCGTAACTTTGAACGGGACGTTGCCAAGTGTACACTTGACCAAATTTACTGTAATCTGTAGCTTAAGTATAGGTCTACGAATCACCAAGAAACCTTATGCAATATTTTCATTCCAGTAACTGCTTTTGGATGTGACCACCGAATGCAGCAATCACCGGAAGGTGATATATCTTTGGAACTCTTTGACATCTACATGGAAATCATGGTAGCTAGGATGTTTACAATATGGAAATATCCGGAATTTATCTACCGGATGACCAAAGCATACCGGATAGAAAGAGAAAGCCGTAAAACCTATCTCAAAATGAATAGCAAATTGCTGCATGCATTCAATTTGGGTGAACAATTTCACAAGTCAAACGATGATAACGGCACCAGTAAACCCAAAAATGTCCTTGAGTGCCTTAAAAAATACATATGTGAAGTCAATCCGGCGGCAAAGGATGATATCCCCCATCATATTGTAATGATTCTTTTCGCGGGTAATGATACAACAGCTAAAACAGTCAGTTTCATTTTGCTAATGTTAGCAATGCACCCAGATGTTCAAGACCGTTGCTTTCAAGAGATTATGCAAGTATGTACTGGAGAAGATGGATTTGTTTCCGCCGAAGATGTAGCAAACCTTACGTACCTTGACATGGTGTGCAAGGAAACTATGAGACTTTACCCCGTTGGTCCAATGTTGGCTCGGGTAACGACCGGTGAAGTCAAACTAAATGGTGAGTGATCAAGTTTTAACCACTGCTAAAATGACTCATTGCCGAAACTTTTCAGATCAACACATCATTCCAGCCAACTGTAACATTATAATAGGAATTTATCAAATCCACCGGGACCCAAAAATATGGGGTCAAAACGCCGACAAATTTGACCCGGATAATTTTCTCCCAGACAACGTGACCAAACGACATCCGTACTCCTTTATTCCCTTCAGTGGCGGGCCAAGGAATTGCATGGGAATGCGGTATGCCGTTCTCTCCATGAAGATTACGATCGTTCACATGTTGAGAAAGTACCGCCTGAAGACATCGCTCACAATTGATCAACTGAAGGTCTCTTACGGGATCATGTTGAACATTGCAAACGGTTGCCAGCTGACGATTGAAAAAAGATGAATATAGTTGAAATACTGGTGAGGTATTGGATGAAGACTAAAGTTGCTAAACTCTATAATAAATAACTCAAAAAGGTTTTTTGTTGGATTCCCTGATACGTAAACCTGACATTTTCATGGATGCCAGATTCCATTTTGAAATATAATATACAAACGGTTCCTATTTTTTATTCAACCCTTTCAGCATATACTCTATCTAGTTGATTTCTTTTTTTTTTCTTAATTTGTTTTCCGTCGATCATGTTTTTCCGTGTTGAGCATCAATGCTACCGACGCCAGGGTGGCAGCTCCCACACCTGGACCCTACCCAACAAACAATTTTAGCTGCAGACTAGCTTATACAGGCAAAAATTAGCTGTATAAGCCAATTTTTGGATGTATAAGCTAATCTGCAGCTAAAATTGTTAGTTGGGTACCTATCCACCCATCAGCTCATGAACCGGGGACCAACGGCTTTACTTCCCTTCCGAAGAAAGGCGTTATCAGAGATGTTATGCCTCAGAACATCCCGGTGGTGCCGACTGGGTTTGAACCCAGGCCTGCTGGAGTGAGAGGTAATCACGCGTACCACTAGCGCCACTAGTTGGTTTCTTGCACTGACAAACTCAATTGTACAGGTTGATTGACTCGCTGTCTCTGTTGATGTAGCCGCAGACGCCAAAATTGCCACGTTTAACCATTAAATAACAACGTGTTGCCTCTCTCAGATAGTCACAAAACATGGTGCGAGAGACCGCTGGCAGTGTTGCCACTATAATGGTTAAAAAGACAACCATTATGATAATTACATTCAAGAGAGATTGGGAAAGCCAAGATCCCAATGACCACATCCGATATGTTCTGAGTGCCTTTGAGGACGTGGTCAGAATCTTATTTGAATCAAAACTAAGCAAATGGCCTATCAAACCATATGAGACTTGATAATTAATAACCTCAATTACCTTTAAAACAACTCACGAGAAATGAGGTTCAAATTGACTTATTCTAATTGAAATTGCAATGTCGGGTGATTACTTTAATGTTTTAAATAAATAAAATTGCCTTCTTCAAACATGCTGAAATCTTTTAAGAATAACCTAAAATACTTATGAAACAACTCATGAGAATGTAGGTTCAATTTGGCTTATAAATATTTTAATCTGAAATGGCAAGGCTGGGTGATTTATAATTTGAATTGAATTGACATAATTATTTCCTAAAATATCTCTTACAAATCACAAATACTGTTTAAACAACTCATGAGAATTGAAGTTCAATTTGGCTTATAAATTTTTCAATATGAAGTGGCAAAGCCGGGTGACTTCGAAATTAAATATAATTTGCCTAATAAATTTCAAAAATACCCTCACACAAAAAAGTCCCTACTTCAAATATTCTGAAATCTTTAGCGAATAACCTCAAATACTTTTGAAACTTCTCGTGACCATTGAGGTTCAACAATAATTAACAAGAAAGTTCTTATTCAGTATCGTGCTCTCTTGCCGTTCAGATCTATTTGATTTTGGTTGATGGAAGTGCTCCTGGTACCTAAAACTACAACTAATTTAAACAGCACTTTTCAGCACTCAATATACCTGCAAGTATTCTACCTTGTTCGACTCTTATTCCTCTTCGATCCTTGTTTGAACCCTACCCGAGGTAATCCTGCTTGGATATCAATTTGGAAAATTCCTCTTCGATCCTTCTGATTGTTATAGTAATCTGCTTGGAAGCCGATGTGAAGAAACGTTTTACTGCCGCCATGGCACCTAAACGCAAAAGAAAAGGACAATCTCTTGATACCCCTTCTGATGAAATGTATGTGAGCAATCAATTTGATATGCTCACCGATGATGAGAATGATCCATCATACAGGTGGCATTCCTTAATTTTGTTGCCAAGGAATCCAATTTTGACTGACTAAGGGGCGTGATTTTGGAGGGTTTTTCAACACTCCGAAGTGTATAAATAGCGGAACCTTTCAATTAAAGTCGGATCCTTGCAATAAGTGCAAGAATTACAACTGTAAAAAAAATCGAATACTTCATCATTTCTCAATGCGTAATACGACATGCACTAAACTAAGGACACGGGGTATACTACAATAGATCAAATTACTGGTTGCAGTTGGTGTTAGGTCCCGAACATAGAAAAAAAAATCATCCAGGGCAAATCCCACTAAACTTTTCCGGCTTAATGCCAAGAAAGAAAAGGTCCCCCCTTTTTGCCATAACCACTACCATTTTTTCATGCTCTTCGCACGGAACTTTTGAACTTAGTTAAATTAAAGTTTTCACTTCAAATTGACCGTGTATTGGCTGAAACCTTGGACGGATTCAAACGTCTTCTCAAGTATCTTACTGAGAAGCAGCATAAATTTTTGACTTATGACACCAAAACTGATGGGTCTATTTAAGGTTGTCTTGAAAGGTCTGGCCAGTGGCAAATCCTTAGATCAGATCAAAGATGAATTGACTAAATTACTCGCAGTTGAGCCAGTCCAAGTAATCAAAATGAAAATGAAATCCCGTGCTGGCGATTCGCACAGCGGGATTTCTAATGATTTTTATTTACTTCACTTCAAGTCTAGTGAACTAAACAACATTAAGGCCTTAGAAAAAGCTAGCCTTATGCTCCATGTCCGAGAGAAGTGGGAACACTTCAGGAAAACTGGAGGAAATTTCCGAAACCTTACCAGCTGCCGTAAGTGTCAGGGATGGGGCCATGGAACCAAAAATTGCTACATGGCAGCTAAATGCATGAACTGTGGAGATTCCTCTCACTCAAAAGACGACTCCTAAAATGGATTTTTTTACAAAAATGATTAAATGAAATGATTACTGATATTCTGAAAAATAACTGCATGCTTGGTGCTATTCAAACTGGAGTAAAATTTGCGAACAATGTCGTAATGACTCTGAAATTCAGTAATGGATTTTAAATCATTAAATATTTTGAATTGGAACGCTCGAGCTAATTAAATTTAAAGAGTTCATATGAATATCGTCATTATAACTGAAACGTTCCTTACATCTGACTATAAGGATAAAAGGGACGTATATTTTTTCATTTATAGAAATAATCGTCTTGATGGAGACGAATCAAATACATTTGAAACCAAAGTTTTTGAAACTTTGAAGTTTCTGTTGAAACAAAATTTGGACAACTTACGTTTATAGCTGCCTATTTGCCATTTCAATGCGTAGGCCAGCAAAAGAATTTTCTCAAGGGTGACCTTCAGAAACTTACCGGTCATAGCTTTAAATTGAATTTAATACAAAACACCGCTCATGGAATAATGCTCAAAGCAATTCCAATGGTAATATTCTGTTTGATGATTGTTCTGCAGGTTATTACACTATTCAATATCCAAACAGCCCAACACGCATTTCTTCAGCAAGAAATCCCTCAACTATTGATTTGGTCTTAACTGATTCATGTCAACTTTGTAGCCAATTGGTTACCCATGCTGACTTCCAGTAACTTTTGAAATATCCCAAGAAATAATTTCTAATCCCAACAGCTCTACTTTCAATTACCATAGAGCTGATTGGAAGCAATATCGAACATTTATGGAATATAACTTCGATCCAAACATTCCTTTGCAAACCAAAGATGAAATTAATTATGCTCTTGAATCTCTGACTACTTCTATAGTTGAATCAAGAGCTGCCTTAGTTCCAAAATGCGAGGTTAAATTCGATTCAATTCTAATAGACGACGATCTTCAGCTCTTGATCCGTCTGAAAAATATCCGCAGGAGGCAATATCAAAGAACACGCGGTCCTGCCATGAAAGTTATCTGGCGGGATTTGCAAAAACAAATTAAAAAGCGATTCTCTGCCCTGAGGAACAAAACTTTTGAAAATAATGTTTCTAAATTAGACCCGAGCTCCAAACCCTTTTGGAAACTCTCAAAAATTTTGAAAAAACCTCGAAAGCCTATTCCAGCGCTTAAAGAAGGTGGTAAAATGTTGATCACAAATTTGGAAAAAGCTCAGAAAAGCACCCCGACCCCCCCGGGACTTCATCCCTTGAAGACCACATAGCAGCCATGGTTTTCGCTGGCAGTGAAACAACAGCTTCAACGATCGCTTTCACACTGCTAATGCTATCCATCCATCAAGATGTGCAGGACCGAGTCTATCGCGAAATCTCCTCCGTCTTCGACGACCTCTGCGATCACAATTACCTAGACCAATCGAGCCTGTCTCGTCTGACCTACATGGAACGTGTTTTCAAGGAAACCATGCGACTGTTTCCCATTGCACCTTTAGTAGGTCGCAAAGTAGATGCCGACATCCGGCTGGAAACCATAACGATTCCTGCCGGGGCAAACATCTGCATACCGATCTACAAACTGCACCGCGATCGGGCGCTTTGGGGTCCCAATGCGGAAACATTCGATTCGGACAATTTCCTACCGGAGAAGGTTGCCCAAAGGCATCCCTATTGCCATATTCCGTTTATAGCCGGCGTACGCAACTGCGTTGGGATACGCTACAGTAGCCATCTGATGAAAGTGATGTTGGTGCACTTACTGTACAAGTTTCGTTTCTCTACCAGCTTAAAGATAGATGAGCTTGAGCTGAGAATGCGCATGGTACTGAAGATAGGCAATGGACGTGTGCTGGCTGTTGAACGGAGGGTGGATCGATTAACGAATGGATGAAGAACACGCAAACACACAGCGGGAAGTAAGCAGATGGATGCTCTGGTGTTGTTGTTTGTTAGGGAACATGCATAAATGATGTAGCTTCATTAATTAAATGTACTTGACCTAAGCACCAAGTAGTGGATTAAGTATCTTCACCTGCCCCATTCTCCCCGAAAGCTGATAAAGTTGAGGAAAAATAAATATAAAATATGATACCTGGGGAAATTGCTGGGGCTGGTTTATGAATCTAAAGACTGGACCAATCGATAAAAAAAACTCCTGTTCTTGGATTTTTCTCAGAACAATACGTCATCTAGAAGAAACAAGTGAATATTTTTGGATGCTTTAAAATTCATGTAAATTTAGGTGCTCTGAGACTGACATATACGAGCGTCAATTTTGACATAAAATTGTTTCATAATAGACGCAACATTCAGCTCAATCATACGTACTTTTCGTCGAGTAACGAACTTTTCAGTCTCGGAGCATTTCGTTTCATCCTTTATGTCAAAGATGGATTCCGTCACGTGTAAAATTAGGTATTTCTAAGTGTGTAGTGAGAAATTTAAAAAAAGATGCTGTCTATAGAAATTTACGTATGAGCCCAACATTAGGGACACCAACCATACACACTTAGAAATACCTAATTTCACACGTGACGGAATCCATCTTCGCCATAAAGGATGAGACGTAAACAAACATGTCATGTAAAATTAAGTGCTCGGAGAAAGAAAAGTTCGAAAGTACGTTTTATTGAGCTAAGTTTCGCGTCTATTATGACTCAATTTTATGTCAAAATTGACGCTCGTATATGTCAGTCTCAGAGCACCTAAAATAACATTAATTTTCCTAAATGTATATAATTTTGCATTGAACGGTATGGTTATGGTACGGTATTTGACAAAAAAGGGTAATGAAAAATGTTCTTATGATTTTTTCAGGCTTCAATACTAATGGTTCGGAGGATTTTGAATCAACTACTCTTTTTTCCAAAATTCACATAATTGAAAAATTCATAATTCATGCAACAAGTACCGTAGAAAAACTTCTTTAGTGAAATTATAAGTAAATTATCTCAGCAATCCATAACTGAACAACATTACATTTAAAAAACTTTAACGGCGGAGGAAAAATGAATAAACAAACCGGGAAAACAATTTTCCGAGTTTTGAATTTTTTTTCAAAAACTTTTATCTTACTCGAAAATTCCAGAGTGATATCTCTTTCCGTTTTTGGGTACCTCAAAACGAGGTATCTTTGGTTGGTGAGTTTGATAGTAGAATAAAAACAAAACTCAACTACGCAAAAATCACCGCATAATTTCAGGTTCAAAAATGGATTGCTTTATATTTTGGAGTTATTAGTTTTTATAAATGTTGTTTTTGCATCAGTGGATGGAAAACTAAATCAACATGCATAAGCATGCAAACAATTGACATTTGAGCGGATTTTATGTGTTTTAAGCTGAAATTATTGTTTGGCGTTATGAGTATGACTGCGTGAAAATGCATGAGAATCTCAAGCGTGAGCTTTGTTTGCCACATTCGCACATGAGTTTACTCTCTCAGGGAGACTCAATGAATGAGATTTGAGAATGATTTTCAAAATACTGGTTACAACATCAACACGATCGTAAGTGTAATATGAAGGGCTCTTTGGCTCTAGAGCGACCCTTTTTGATTACTGAGCAAAACATCGTGGATTTAATCTCAGCTTCCTTCACATCAGTTTAATTCAGCTTACCGTTTGTCAAAACAAACTCTACTGCAATCCCAACCGTTTATCCAATATCACAGTGCTTTCTCGAGGATGTGCAGAGGACTTGTCAGCATCCATCAAAGCTAGCATGACGTCAACATATCAGTGCCAACATTTCAAAGGGGCGTAATTGCTTTTGTAAACAAAGGATTTAGCCGTCGATTTCTCGCAAATAAAAGCTCACTCCTCCAAATTAACAATGCTAGCTAGAAGAGAAAACATTCCTCTACCTGTTGGTGCAATCAATTTTCATGAATGAGCTTTTATTTGCGAGAAATCAACGGCTAAAGCCATTGTTTACAAATGCAATTACGCCCCTTTGAAATGTTGGCACTGAATATTTCTACCCATTCGTTAGTTGTTCTGCATTCGGACGTAGCAGGCGCTGGTATTGCATACACACTTAAAAATTACTCTTTTTACTCGAGACGTATTTCATCTTTGACGTACGTCTTGGAACGTAAACAAATATGAAATGTAAAATTAAGGTCGAAACGAAAAGCGCATGTGTTGAATTGAATTTCTCGTTTCTTCTTCTCTCAACTGGTTCTTATTAGAGTTGTTTTCCGGTTTTTAATTCTTTATTTATAGAGGACTGATTTTAATGTTTGATGAAAAATATGCACCTTTGAAGCTTATTTGGGAGATACCTTAAGTTATTAGTAAATTTCCTGGCATATGTCGGGGATTCGTGAGCATTCCGGACATTTCTGAAAATTTAGGATAGCATTAGATTGCGGGGTTGTTTGTGTAATAGGATCCTTTGTTGATTGTTCCTTAACTCTTGATTGCTTGTAATACTTATGCATATTTTAGGTGGACAAGAAGGCGAACTAAGAGCATGCTAGGCAAACTCATTTTTTTTGTCACGAGCTACTCATTTGCTACTAACTATCAACACAGTAGACGAAACATAGTTCATTTTGAAGCCGTCAACAGAATAGAGTTTAAGCTTGTTATAGATACGTAAAAAATAGTAGATAATATAGTTATAGTGCTAGTAATAAGCTGTATTTGTTTTTGCATTACCAAAATGAAGTGAGAAATGCTCGCTGCACATCTCGTAATTTTAGTGTAAACCAGGCTTGCTGAAACTCCTCAAACTCACTGAAGGTTTTAAAACGGCAGCACAATTAATCATCAATAAAAAAAGCGAAATGAGCAATGAAAAATCTCAAATTGGCCACTTAATACTACAGGGGTGCACCAATAAACAAAAAACAAGTTGGAATAGAAATGAAGAAAAAGGCAATAAACAAATAAAAAGCTTCTTTTAATAATTTGAATGTGAGCGGTAAAAATGGCAAAAAGGGCAATAGTAAATACAATACGCTCAATTAAATAAGGATGAATCTCCACTAAATTAGGAAATTTGAGCACTAAATAACTCACTTTCGTCACCTGCAGTTGAAGATATTTTCCCATAAAAGTGGCAAAATGAGCAATGTCATATTGAATAACCGCAATAAATAAATCTAAAATGTCCCACACAAAGCGCACAGTTATCACTGTTTTAATCCAACTATGCAGTAAAATCGTGATTATTTCCCCAAGAAAAAAATGAAAATATCTTTTAAAAACTGAAAAAGTTCCAGGAACCAGAAGATAAATGTATGCTTGAACATGAGGTTGAGCCATCGTAAAATATGAATCGTTCTTAAAGAAAAGAAAATAATTCATGCAGGAAAGTAAAAATGAGCAATTAAAAACGAACACTGCGCAATTTAAAATAAAACAAAATTCCAATGATATTCTGGAAATATTCCTTTAAATTGAAAGTTTATGAGCCAATAACCCAGATCAATTTCCATATGGTATTTTCAAGACAGCGATAAGTAGTGATACTGTGTCTTGGCTAACAAAGTCGTTGCTGATAAAGAAGATTAACGAATGTGGGTCTCATTGAAAAAGGTACCATTAAACAAAATCAAAAGAGCACTAAAAACGAACACTGCGCAATTTAAAATAAAACAAAATTCCAATGATATTCTGGAAATATTCCTTTAAATTGAAAGTTTATGAGCCAATAACCCAGATCAATTTCCATATGGTATTTTCAAGACAGCGATAAGTAGTGATACTGTGTCTTGGCTAACAAAGTCGTTGCTAATAAAGAAGATTAACGAATGTGGGTCTCATTGAAAAAGGTACCATTAAACAAAATCAAAAGAGCACTAAAAACATCTGTTTGAGCAATATATACGTCACAAAAGAGCACTAGAAAATGCCATTTGAGCAATACAAAGGTAAAAAAAAACACAAAAAGCACAATTAATGTCCCAGGGAAAATTTCAAAAACGCTCAACAAAAAATAAGAAATGAGCAAGAAACGTATAAAATTAGCACTCTGAAAAATAAATTGAGCATTTTATAGGCCATGAAGGTCACTAAGAACGAAAACAATATCTTTTGAAAACCTGCAAATCTTCATCGAACCATAGACAAACAGACGTAACACTCGCATCTTGTACATCTTGTACATGTTTAAACGTCAAACGCAAGGAAATTAACTATGGGCGCCACCGGCGGAGGTGTTATCAACTAACACATATTTAAATTGACCGTTAAATGCGTGTTCGATGTACAAGATGCGAGTGTTATGTCTGTTTGTCTATGGTTCGATGAAGATTTGCAGGTTTTCAAAAGATATTGTTTTCGTTCTTAGTGGCCTTCATGGCCTATAAAATGCTCAATTTATTTTTCAGAGTGCTAATTTTATTCGTTTCTTGCTCATTTCTTATTTTTTGTTGAGCGTTTTTGAAATTTTCCCTGGGACATTAATTGTGCTTTTTGTGTTTTTTTTTTTACCTTTATATTGCTCAAATGGCATTTTCTAGTGCTCTTTTGTGACGTATATATTGCTCAAACAGATGTTTTTAGTGCTCTTTTGATTTTGTTTAATGGTACCTTTTTCAATGAGACCCACATTCGTTAATCTTCTTTATTAGCAACGACTTTGTTAGCCAAGACACAGTATCACTACTTATCGCTGTCTTGAAAATACCATATGGAAATTGATCTGGGTTATTGGCTCATAAACTTTCAATTTAAAGGAATATTTCCAGAATATCATTGGAATTTTGTTTTATTTTAAATTGCGCAGTGTTCGTTTTTAATTGCTCATTTTTACTTTCCTGCATGAATTATTTTCTTTTCTTTAAGAACGATTCATATTTTACGATGGCTCATCCTCATGTTCAAGCATACATTTATCTTCTGGTTCCTGGAACTTTTTCAGTTTTTAAAAGATATTTTCA